CCAGACTGGGTAATAAGAGCGAAACTCCGTCTCAAAAAAAAAAAATAAAAATAAAAATACAAATACAAAAATTAGCTGGGCATGGTAGTAGGCTTCTATAATCCCAGCTACTCGGGAGCTGAGGCAGGAGAATCACTTGAATTTGGTAGGCAGAGGTTGCAGTGAGCTGAGATTGCACCGTTCAACTCCAGCCTGGGCAACAAGAGCGAAACTCCGTCTCAAAAAAAAAAAAGTAAATTAGAACTTGGACTGTACAGTCAGAATATTCCCTTGATGCTGGTTTGTCATGGGAAAACAATATAATTGGTTGAATTAATGAGGTGAAGTGAAAGGTATAGTACTTTTTAAAATGGTTGTAGATATAATTAGATTAGCAAGTAATGGAAGTTTAAGATGTAACTAAAGAAGCCATTTAGTTTGGATTTTAGCATAATGGGAAATCTCGACTTGTGTTTTCAGCATACGTATAGAGCAAAACTAAAAGGAAAGTCATTAAATTTGGGTGCCAAATTTTATAAGTTGCTATAAAGAAATTATAGCATTTATGCTTGTGATTTTGAAATATTTGGGTCATAGCTTTTAGGAGAGGCCTTTGTATTAGCATTTATTCATTCATTTGCATTACTCTTTTTGTTCATAGCGATTTTCTAGTCAAAATTGTGGATGTGATGGATAGCAGCCAACAGAAAACATTTCGAGGACATGATGCCCCTGTTTTAAGTCTTTCCTTTGATCCTAAGGACATCTTTCTGGTAATTATTTTTTCCTTCTCTTTTTGTGTTTTTCCTGAATATATTTAAAAATATATTTCCTGCTGACTCTCTAAAAAATGTCTTGCTCACTCTCTAACTCTTCAGCCTTTGTTTTATTCAGTAAGAGAGTTAACAAGAAATTCCACCCAGTTGATAAGTCTTTTGATTTAATTAATTGAATCACTTTCCATGTAGTATTATGGCTATGACTATAGAGAAATGTATTGTTTATTCCTACAGGCATCAGCTAGTTGTGATGGATCTGTCAGAGTGTGGCAAATTTCAGATCAGGTAAACTCAGCAATTTTAATTTAAAGCTTTTTGCTCAAATCTGTAGTAAATTGTTATGCGTTGTATTGCTGGGTCAAATTAATAATTGCTTTTCTTTAGAATTTGTTTCTTTGAGTAGCATAAATACTGTTTTTGTGATCAAAGTCCACAGTAATCTAGTGCCAAAGTAAATACGTTCAAGACTAAAATTGCATTTGTACCCAATCACAAGGGGAATGATAGGCTTATATTTAATTTTTTAAGTTTTGTAAATCAAGGAAATAAACCCAGTTATTTTATATTTACAAGCTAGACCATGCGTTGGGCCTTGGGTTAGATGCTGGGGATAAAAAATAAAGCATGGATCACACTTGATTTGGACAGTCACATATGCAACTTACTCAAATGTAGTCTAATAAAGATTTTAAAGGAAGTAGAAAATAAAGTGTTCTCCAGATTGGCAAGGGAACAATTAAGTCTTCCCAAGGCAATCAGTGATGTCTTGGCATTTCTAGAGATAATATGAATGTAATTGACTATAGAAATATTCTCCACAAATATGCCTTAATATTCACAGTTCCTTTCCTTCATTCTTGAGCTGTTTAAAAGAACCGACTTTGACACCTTAACATTTTATAGTAGACCTTACAAGTTTTATTTTTGTAGTCATTCTTAGAATTTTATATATTGGAATTTTGTGTGTGTATGTTTATCTGGTGATTATATAATTTGTTTTTTCTGTACAGAAGGTACTCTGATTATTTAAGATTTGTACTCTTCATATCTTTGAAGAACTTAAAGCAGTTTAGATATATTAGGTATTATTATAATTAAGGTACAGTAAGTTGTGTTTTTCTGAGACTGTATATTTATTTGAAGAAACCTTTAAATATATTTAGTTCTGCATATATTTTGGGAGGGAATTTTCATAAAGGGAAATAAATTTTCTTTTTTTTAAAATTAAGACATGTGCTGTTAGTTGGCCACTGCTACAAAAATGCAACGATGTGATAAATGCAAAATCAATCTGCAGACTGGCTTGGCAGCCAAAAAGTGGGAAGGTAAGTGATTGTTATTTTTCAATCTTTGTTTTATTCAGTCCTTTTCAACTTTGAATATAAGAATAGTTTTTTTTATTGTTACTTTTTAAAAATTTAGATTATAAATTTTAGAGTACCAAGCCAAATAATTAGTATTGAAATGCTAATTTTCAAGATTCATTTTGAAGTGCAAATTTTGCATGAATGAATTAATTTTATATTTTCTTCACATTCATGCTTAATGGAACAACTCTGGAGACAGTCTGATGTCCACTCTCACCATTAGTACCTAACATTTTAGAGGCATTAACTGATAGACAGCAGAAAGATATGAGAACTTTGAAAGGAAGAAAAAAATGTTCATTATTTGCAAATGAAATGTTTGTATATGAGTAAATCCCAAGAAAATCAACTGGGGAAGAAAATCATTACAAATAATAAGAAAATTTAGCCGGGCGCGGTGGCTCAAGCCTGTAATCCCAGCACTTTGGGAGGCCGAGGCGGGTGGATCACGAGGTCAAGAGATCGAGACCATCCTGGTCAAC